GCAGCGCGTGTGATTTCCGTGATTTACCGCAGTGGACGCTTTAAAGCACCCGCGATTCAGTAAACTCTCATGGAGAGAGTTCGCGCGTGAAACACATCGACGAACAGGATAACAATCAGATTAATTTATACGCAGAAATTTCGAAGGAAACTATAAAAGAGAATTGTTCGGTACACGATTTCTCCATTTCGTAAACGTATCACCAAGATTACCGATCTTTACGTATATCATTTTGAACATTAAAAACGTGAATATGAATGGAAAATACATACGCAAGCTTTGGCATTTTAGATTTATGTTGCATATTATATTTTCTAAACTTTCCATTTCAACAACCGCGGTCGCTTTCAATTGTTCTACGTGATTTATTGAGCAATAATAAAGTATTGGCATATTTTATAACTTATTTCACATTAAAATAATTTTACTACTGAAGAGCCATTTATGTGAAGTTAAAAGGATCATTTCCGCGCATCTCGTTGTAATTGTCTTGCTCCTAATGTCGCGAGTTAAGCTCGCTAAGCCGGAGAGTGTAGTCGGTTGTACACCGAGGGCAAAAAGCGAGCATCGCGAAAGCGTCGACAAGACGTTTGGGTAAAGATTCTGTGTCCGTGATGCAGATCTAACTCAAATGTTCCACGAAGCGCGTCCACCCCCGACACCTCGTTGCTGTCGTTCTAGCGACAATTTTCTCGACATCGTTCCACTGTCGGCTGACGCTTTGTCGGCTGTCCCCGTGTCATTGCGTAACAGGCAACGAATAAATAATCGGCCGTGCCGTTTGTGCCAAGGAACGGGGAGCGCGACAAATCGTCGCGCTTCCTAAGCCGTTGTTACTGCAGCGCGATTTAGGCTCAAGGGAAAAGCGTTCTAGCGTAAGTGAAGTGCAGCACGACGGACAGGTGTTAGCCTCTCTCGTCGACGCCTAATAGATGCGCCAATAGTTACACGCGTCTATTCGACGCATCCGAGTGATCTATCCACGTCTTAAATTAACGCCAGGAAGATACAATAAGATCTTGCGTGTTTTACGTTCGGGCGGCGCGTTTTCAGCAAGACAATAAATAACTTCTGTAAGAAGTGCAAAAGTCGAAGTTCGCATTTTCGATTTTTCAAAAATGTATAGAATGAGAAATATAGAAGCAAAAATTACTTGCTATAATAAGGACAGGTAATAACTTCTTTCTTTCTTAATAGTTTGTGATAATTGCGCGTTTCATTAAGATTCGATCTTTTTCGTGGAAATCGATTTCTGAAGTTAAGTACTTCCGACAGCAGTGATGAGACTAATCGAGGGATCATATCGTAAATCTTATCGCTCACAGTAAGGCGTTCGCAGGTGTAAACGCGTCCGCGTGTAGGCAGATTCATGAATAAATCAGTTCGACTAGGTGCCATGTATCAAATATGTAGACGTACATATCTATTCACGGATCTCACGTACGAGTACATTAAGAGAGATCTTCGCTGACATAAGTTCGTCAGCAGTATTTCCTAACAAAATAAAAACTGCGAACACGCGAGAATACAAGATGTCTGTACTCATATAAAAAATTGTAAAGAGTCGCAAACTATTCGTCCTATATCCCCTAAAAAAATATTAAAAAATAAATTTGTAAAATAATTTTCTTGGTGGCATTTAAAAAAAACTTTCTTCGATGGCTGCATACCTGCACCTCTTGCATTAATATTGGAAACTAAGAAGCATTCGCACGCCAAGCACGAAGACTAAAATCTAAGCGCCGCGAGAGATACATTTTGTCTTTCCGTTTACTTGGAACCACGTGTGTGGTCTCAATGGAGCACGTGTCGGCCGCGACGCGAGCGCAACTTTTTCTCGCGCGCGAGACGTGCTATGCGCTTTTCGGCGCAAAATCCCGGAATTCCTGATCCGCAGGTTCCGCCAGGCCAAGAGGTTTCCCCTCGGGACTGGCGGAATTTATGCGGCGAGCACAAGAAACGCTCAAGATCATCGCTTAGCAAAACCTAGTTTTCGCATAAATTTCTGTTCTTCCTTTTTCGTTCATTAAATATTTTCGGCAACGTTGTAAAGTAGAACGACATACGCAATATAATAATTAAATAATATTCCTATGACTTTTTCTATTTTGCAATAAGCTCCAGAGATTGATCACAAAAATAATTGAACGTTAATAAAACGCGCGATACACTAAAAGCTAGGAAAGAAAGAAAATACTGTTCGCGTTATTGCAAGTAATTTTTGCTCCACTTTTCTTTACATTTTAGGAAGTCAGAAGTGCGAGCTATGACTTCTGTACTTCTCATACGGAGTATCCTAGTGAGATATCTTTTATCTATAAGACTGTATATGTAAGACGTATTGCTTTTAAGCACGAAAGGGCGCTATTCTTTAATACAGACAACTGTAATTACGTGGCCGAATTAACATTATTCTTAAGTTATTCATCGTGATAAAGTACTACAAGCCAGAACATTATTTTTAATCCACGAACTTTATGTAAAGACAATAGCGTGGCATAAATATCAATTTTCTGGCACATATACCGTGATACAGAAATATCGCGCTTGTAATTCTGTACGTGTGACATTTTCAGCATCGAAAGATATTTCGGAATAAATGCCCGCAACTGACAATCTCCCAACGACAGTCGCAAAATTTACGCGTCTTCGTACGTGGATGTTTCAAAATGGATTCTTTGCCCAAGGCTGATTTAAATAAATTTATTTCCTCCACGTCAATAAAACAATATATAACAAATAAAACGGAAAATCTTAAAAAGGGATGACAAAACGCCAAATCCAGCTAAAATTGATTCAATTAATCGATATGTTAAAAAAAAAAGAAATAAATAAAATTATAAAATGTATAAAATATATTATACGTAAAAGATAAGTTATATAAAAATATATACCAAAATCAAAATTGTAATATTGCACTTTACTTGATGAATATTTTATGCATAGTCATTTATCGATAGTTTCAAAACTGCTAAAAAATATCGCGATTATGATAACATAACAAGATAAGATCTGCACATTGTTAAACTCTCTCGTGATAATCAAGAGTGTCACCCAGTCATAAATAACTCGCTGCAGTCTTTATCGCAAATGCCATTAACAATTAAGATAACGATCGCGTGCAGCCGATACAGCACTATCACGGGAATCATTAAATTGCAACACGATTACGAGATAAGCCGTGTTTTTCAAACTCGCCGACGTAATCTGGTGGATTGTTACGCAGTTCATATCGTTCGCAATTAGCGCGCATCGCGCGTGGGCAGGACGGACGCAATAGAGAAATAAAAAAAGAGAGAGAGAGAGAGAAAGAGAGAAATATTATATATATGTAAACAAAAACGTGGGGCAGCCTCCAGCTGAGATGCAGTTTTACGCCCATCGGTTTTTCTCGTAGCGACATCGCGCGGCACGATGCCAACTCACTAGAAATGCACATTCCAACCGACGATCTCTCGCTCCGACAATCCGAAGAGGCCGAAATCAGGGAGATGCGGTTATAAACACGCCGGAATGAAGCTCTCTCTCTTTCTCATTTATCCGTCGTCAGGTTAATCGGCGCTTTCTCGCGCGTTCTTCTCGCAATCTCGCGAGACGCGACGGTCTCTCCGGACGCGGAAATATTCATGCGATTCGCGATGTGACATAATTGAACGGCGGTGTTCCGGGTTTCGGTGCCGCGCCACGCCGCGTCGAGATCGCTCGCCGATCTCGCGCGCAACCGACGCGCGGACTGCGCGCGAGAGCGCGGCGACGCCCGGCGCGCGACGATACCGCGCGTCTTCGCGAATTATGCGGATAGAACTGCGTGGGAAACTGGCCCGAGGCTTCACGGGCGGCACGGCCGCTCGCGGTGCTCCGTGCTCCGGGGGCCTACCGGCGACCCCGCGACCGTGAAATCGATCGAATTTTGTCACTCACCGATTCATCGAGGTCCGCCAGGCTTTGCCGCGCGTGCAGCGGTCGGATGCGCTCCCCTCGCTCGCCGCGGGACCTGCGAAAACACGGAACGATTCACTTGTCACTAATTAAAGATATCGCGACGGCGGCCATACTGCCGTGCGCGAGGCGCCTCGCTCTCGGCTCGCGCGATGGCGCCACGGCCGCTCGGCCGGTAACGAGCCTCGACATACATGCGACACATTTTTAAATTTATAACTTTGAAAAAAGAAATAATTTAATGTAAAGTTTCTTCTGTTTCTTTCTTCTCTACGATTTGAAGGAAGTATGTTTCTCCTAACAGCTAGCTGTTGTGTTAAATAATAAAATGTTTAATATTTCTTTTAAGTATTTTTTTAGTATTCCAAATTTTAACTTAAACGTCTTTTAAATAATTGTTCTTAGTTTGAACGAGATAATCGATTGGAAAAAGTCCATTTGTGTAAAGTATTAAATAAATTATTAAATCATTTATTCTTTTACATACATATGTAGCAGAGGATTGCGCTGTTATATTGAAATTCAATTCACACATATATCGTTAAATATAAAAAAACTAGCTCCAAAATTGTCCGAAATATAAATCGATCTTCCAATTTAGATAGTATTAATAAAAAAAAATATTGTTAAAATGAGATTGCGAGCTATTCGAATTATTCGAAAAACAAATCTGATCTAATATCCAGACAGATTCGCACGAGTAAATAACATTTAAACATATAATTTACAATTAAATATCAATCATATGGATATTGAGTAGAAATCTATTAGACTTGAAGAATTATCGCCACCGTCTCAAATCTAGTCTTCAATCGCATGTGAACAGTGATTCGCAAAGATATTAAACATATTTCGCGTAATATATTTGTATTAGACAAAGATATAAAATACCCCATTCACATCTGCGCATTCGAATCATATTCGATAGAAAATCACACGCGGAATTTTTGGGGAATATTCGAACGTATAAAAAAAATAATTTGTATAATTTTGTAAAAATATTTGCTCGTCGAATGGATAAAGACGTGTTTCGACAGTATCGACGACAATCTTTATCGTCGAGGACGTCGAGCGTTGTCGCTCGCGGTGCGCAGAGCGGAGGGAACAGCTGATTCGTTTTTCCTAACCTCGATCGCGCTCAGTCAAGACGTTCGGTCGGACGTTTTCCTCTAGATCGGTGACGTTCCGCGATTTTCGCGTGTACGACGAGGATCGGCGACCGCGAATACTGACGTACGCGATTGACTCGTGTGTCGCACTCGGGCCAGGTTGACTCGGCAACGATGGTGAAAATCAACACGCGATGGAAGACCGCCGAGGATTTCAATATCCTGCGTGGGAGCAGCATTTGTAAGAACCGAAACGCAATCTCTGTCTGGAAACGCTGTAGAAACGATATCGCATAGGTAGATATTCGCACGTCGTTTCATTCCAGGGACGAAGGTTAAATATTTCTGGCGCAAGGGGTGGATAGAGATCCCGGTGATAATGGCATCCACACCTCTCGTGCTAATAGGGTGCGGCGTGGCCGGTTTCACGGTATATTACGGCCTGACGCACGATTTAACACCGAAATATTACAAAACGCCGAGAAGTAAGTAATCGAAAGTATACATTCGTTCTCGGAGCGCTTGCTCGGCTCCGCGACTGTTATGCAATCGTAAACGTCCGTCGATAAAGCAGAATCGCTGATAAAGCGTCAAATTAATGAATACTAATTGCGCTCGTACCTCAGTTTACAGACCGGACGATCCGCAAGTCCAGAAGATCCGCTATACCTCGGCCTTCGACTAATACCTCTAATTTTTATTTAAATTTCAGTAGTACAATATGTGTACACATTATATATATAATATATCCTTCCATTGTAGACTTATGTTTCGAATAAATGTATGAAATATTGTTATCAACGAGAATCCCCTTCCCTTCTATGGAACCAACTTCAGTTTCAAACCGATGTGGCTTCGTAAAACCGCGAATTACATTTTTATAACATAAATTTAATAAACCCTTAATAAAAGTATATAAAAAGCATTTATATAGAATTTCCCGAGAAAGTTATAAAATTGTGCGTTTTCTGAAATATCCACGGTCGCTTGCGTCATAAACTCAATGGTGGAAATGGAAAAAAGAGCACTTTATCCCCACGATACCTGTGTCCTGTGTACTCTTAACGATGTCGTTATCGTTATACTATCATTGTGCAGTTTTTTTTTAACCATATAATATACCTGCGCAACGATAATAACGAGAACGATACTGTCGTTAAAGTTAACAGAATAGGGGTACTGATATCGCTGGGTTCGTTCGTATGGTCAAGCATGATAAAGAGACAAGATCGTACAACATATGGAAATCTATTGGGGGTGTTACGTTTTAGTAGTGGGTATACCCGCCCTTCATGGTGTTCTTTTTTCCATTTTTCCATCAGTGTGTATAATAAACGTATAATCGCGGTGATAAATCTCGAATAATCGTAAAGTTTTCTCGTAACGCTGCAGTAAAGGAGAAGCGATTGACGTTTGATGGTTTTACAGATACGATCATGCGTTCCTTTTACGTTCTCGACATTGAGACACTCCATTGCATCTTTTTAAAAATCTTTAAAACGCGTATGTTATATGTGCGCACACGTAACAATCACGCTCGCGAAGAATTTTTATACGATTAATTGTACGGCGCACAATTTTGATTATTTAGCTAATATCGTGGGAAACGATTTCTGCTTTTTACGATTCTGCGCGAAACCTTCGCGGAAAAGCCCGAAGGGCATTTCAATCGTTCGTTCTTTGAAAGCTTTTCGAATGTCCTTTATATTTTCGCGTTGTGTTGTATATGCGTCCTTTATATTTTCGCGTCGCGGTTTTATTTTTGAAGCCCCGTGAAAGAACTCTCCACTACCTAACGCGCCAAGTCACTCGACTTACGTTTCTTCTCATCCCCTCGATATTTTATCCGTACTTTTTAGCATTAAATTTCCTGTTCAGCGTTCCGTATCGGAAGTAGAACCTTCGTCCGCGCTCCGTGTCGGAGGATTATAGCGCTAGAAACGAAGACTTTTCGCCTCGTATCATATAATTTCGGCTTATGGCTATCTCCCTTAATGTTTCTCGTTTATACCACTCACGGCAAACGGTTTGCTCACATATCCTCGAGAAACGTGCGACAACTTCGGGGACAGTTTTTCCTCACATACACACACACACACATTTCAAGTCACTACTTTATTTCCATTTCATTTAAAGCTGATATGCCAATATGGTAAAAATATATCGTCAGATTTCAACATATGTAAAAATTTAATAATAATAAAAATATTAATTTTTGTGAAAAGATCTTTTTTATATACAGAAACAGCACGACGAGGTAGGTGAGTCTTCGTTTCTGTTCAAGAACTTTATCTCAAGAACTTTAATCATCCTACACAGTTCTTCAAACTTCGGCAAGTCGCGAAACTTGGTATTCGTGATTTTGGTGTAAGAACAACGGTATGCGAAATTATGCCGATTAAGAATCCCCACCGCTGTACAAGGAGAGCCCGAATCCCGCCGGTGACTTTCGCGCGCGCGAGAAAGAGAGGGAACGGGCCTGTGATATTCCTACGAGTTAGGGCGCAGGATCGCGCAGTGCTGACGGTGCTTCCCTGTATTGCGTGTGTACGCTATTACAACCAGGCGAGGACGACGGCGTAGCGTAGGGTTTGTACGCGCCGCGGGGGCGCACGACGAGGAGCGAGAGAACGCGCGCACGAAAGGGAGAGAGAAATAGTAAAAGGGAGGAGGGATGCTCGGTGAAGGAGGAGGAGGAGGAGGAGGGAAGATGAGCGAGAGAACGAGAGGGCCGATCGAGAGGGTGAGAGCAGTAGGGGGAAACGGAGCACACGGTACGGAGCAACCCCCATTGCCTCGCCAGTGGTTCAGTCAGCGTTTCGCACCGGTGTCGCTTCGCTTCGCTCCTCGCTCGGGATTACCCTCGGGTACGTCCTCGTGCACATCCTCGCGTGCCCCCCAGTTGTCTCGCGAGATCAATGAGCTTGCGACATATCGGCAGCCACGTATCCGGGCCTTGCTCTAGTAAATCGCAGCCGTAAAGCCAACCGTGACGGCACGGCAGAAAGCTGCCGGGAGAAAGAGCTAGTCAAGCGTGATAATCGAAGCTGCCACTTGTCGCTGTAGCTAGAGATAAAGAAAGCAAAAGGGGGAGAGGAAGAGAGAGAGAGAGAGAGAGAGAAGGAAGGCGAGAGAAAGGGAGAGTGAGTCGCGAAAAGTGCCAGAGCGTGGACACGAGATCGAAAGAGGAAATCGAGGACCTCAACGGGTCCTTAACGTTCACGACGGTGTATGTCTCGGACCCTGTTTCTCAGCTTTTCCTCCGGCAACGCTTTGTCTACGTTCCTGAGGTAAGTAGCGGACATTTGTGATAAGAGAATGCCGAGTCTATGCTTGTTAGTTGTATTGTACTATACTGTGAATCATTTTGCCCTTGCAAATTTAGAGTTTTGCGCTAATAAGTCTTTTAAAATATCCAATTGGTCGATATCTATGAAAGTAATTTATGAACTTTAATGTTTACGCGGATTGCTTATTGAGCATTTTCTTTACTAACTCTGAAATCAATTTTTTAAAATGGGAATATAAATAACTTTTTGTCTTTCTCTCTCGCTCTCTCTCTTCAGTAATATTCGAGACAAGATATATATTTGCTCTGTGCAATAACATTTAAGATGAAGAAAGTAAAGAAAAAACGTAAAGAATAAACAAAAAATTTAAAGAACCAATTTGTCGATGCAAATATTCAATTAATCATGATTATTAAGTGATAGACGTGTTAAAACGTTCATCCTAAACGTGTTAAAACGTCCCACTTTAACGTTCGCTCGAATATCATATATCCGTTCAGTGATATATTGGTGATGAGAGATGTCTTGAAGGAAAAGCCCTCAGTTCGTGATTTGATCTCCTATTTGCTCAATGTTCTGTCAGTCCGTTTGGCAATCCTTTCAAGCTCTCTTGTGCTTTTGGCTCTTTATATGTCTTAATCTCATTGCTCCGAAAGAAGAAACTTTTCGGGCATCTCTTTGTGGAAATTGTAAAATCTCAAACCTTGTAAGTTGCAAGGAAATACATTCTTCCAAAGGTACCAGTTATTAATTATCGGCCAATAATTTCAGTTAATATTCACAAAAATCATATTTTTGGTAAAAAAAAAACATTTATATCCGATATTTCATATAATCTCTTCTACTACAGATCGGAGTATTTATTTCTGATTGTATAGATTTATCATGTTTCTCTGTCTCTCTCACATTTGACATATGATGAATTGGATTACATCAATCTCACGTCAGTGTTCTAGAACTTTGTCCATTTTCTATATAAATGTGTGAAATTAATGGCTGGTGCTACATCGTTTCTTTAAAAAATGAATGGACACCCACGATTTATGAAAATATTAAGCTCTCACATATTTATTTTGCAATAAAGCTCGAATATTTTTCTATTTAGAGCTTTTATATAAGAGAATTAAAAAACATAGGATTAAAGAACGATGGAGTTGCATGCATGGCATAAAAAATATCATTTCTGCAAAAAGCAATATAAAAGGGTGCTAATTGTCACTTCTCCGTAAATATCAGATTTAACGCGCAGTTTTATAAATTTTACATCTCGCTGTAAAACCGATTTAATTACAAAAAAAACGAGAAAAACCATCCACTTCGCGGCCAATCATAAAACATAGATTTTCCGCTAAGAGGTCGAGATAATTTCTTAAAAACGTATAGCATAACTGCGTACGTTATATATGCCTTCCGCAAATAGCGCAGTCCACACACATATATCGCTACTGCGCAATATTTTTTACTCCTTCGAGAAAAACGCGCGGCTTTGAAAGAGTTAATAATTATGTGCTCGTGTAGCACGAACTTTATTGATTCGCGAGCCGTAGGTCGCATCATGCGCCTCGTAATAAGCCATTAGGACACGTGCTCGTATCTGAAAACGTGACATTTCAGTGCAGTTCCGAAATATCGCAGGACTGAAAGGACTGTAAAGCTGAAGCTTATGTCCGTATTTTTCGATAATCAATAGATATTAGGTCGGTTTGCGAACGGAATTTTATATACGTAAGCCAAAACACAGGTACAATTCGTAATCATACAGTTCGCCAGTTATGGGAGATACCGACGTAATTGTTTTCTTACAAATTCATTGGAAATATAAAAGAATGCAGTCTTCTGTTTCATAAACTAAAATAAGTCTATTTACCATTAATCGTATTATCATACATCGAGAGAATTGTTTCGCAATCATAACGAGAACGCCATTCCTCGTTGTATTCAAGCTCGCGCTTCATTTGCTATAGCTTGTGCGGTTGATAACACGATCTGCAATTGAACAGACGTGACGCCCAAGTTCACTAAAGCCTCGTAAACTCGTCCTGGACTTGGGCCAAATCGAAGTGCCATAGCACCAGCGTCGTCGTGCACATAACTATATGCGCCCGAAACAGCTGTTAACCCGACTTGTTGCACCGTCAACAGACGTATCCCCGCTGCAACTGGTGAATTTCGCCGCGCGAACACGTAACCAGGTCTCTTGAATATAATTATAAGCTACAAATATTGGAATCACAATATCCGAGTTTATAAAGTCGAGATACTGGCGGCTGGATTGAACGAAAACTATCTCCCATACATTATTATATTAGATCTACCAGGAAATCAAATTAAATCTATCAATTTGTCACGAATTGAATTCGGCACATGTATTGACCTAACTTATTGACGCTGCGATTTTAATTGTTGTTTGTTAGATCACTTGAGAAGGACCCGAATCCTGGGTTGAAACGTCGTGAGAGTTATGTAATTATTACCAATTAGTAGTTGATTAAATATATACACTTTTTTGTTAAATCTATCACTTTCATATTTTTTTCACGTAAACTTTTGAAGAACAATTAAACTTTCCTCTTTCTCTCTTTCGTTCTAACTGAAATACACCTAAATACCGTCCATTCAAGAGCAAAGAATAATAAATGTCTTAAAAGTTGTTCGAAAAACTTCTGGAAGCATTAAGTTGATTGGCGATGCAATTGACATATATAGACATCAGTAAACGCAGATGTAGTTTACTTATCGATTTGCTTTCTCAAGTGCATGTGTAATATCGATTATTTTCAGTTTAAAACACATTTGGCTAGAACAAAGTATCTCAGGAAAGTACGGATATATTATTTCTGAAATCAGCTCGACTTCTCGACCCAATAACCGAATTTATCGCACCTGCGGGATAGAGGTCGTGGAGAAAACTCTAGCTATTTCAGGAAGTAGGCTACGCGCGCGAAGATAATCTGCAACGTTTGTAAATGCATTCACACAATTGCACGACGTCGGCGTCGTCGCGTCGAACCTTGGAACCTTGGTTCGCGATTACGCCACTGGGACACACAAAAGCAACGAAGTTCGGCTTTAGTTCGGCGAAGAGACTCCGACAGAGAAAAGGAAACTATTTACGATGGGAAAAAAAAAGACGTAAATTTCCAATAGGCCGCGCCGTCAAATTTCTCGCGGTACATCGAGCACCGTGTCTCTGTGCGATGCGCTTTTGTGCATGCTTCCGATGCATCGCTGCATCGTTACGATCGTTATGACACGCGAATTTTCGGTTCAAATGACAATCATTCGGTCGGACAGTATCGTTATCTCGTTACACGTGTCGCAAGAAAATAACGCTGGCGTATGATACAACGGTAAATAATAAAAATATTTGTGTGTGCTCCGCTGCCATGTACCTTCAAGTCTTAATTTAACGCAGTTTATTTTTCATTGTATATTGGTTATCGAATTTGCGATCGATATTTCCTAGGGGGGAGAATTCCTTCGCTTTTTAATATTCGATATCGAATATCTTGGTACCTCGAATTAAAATTCTCAAGAAAAGTATACCTGACTTGAGTTTAGATGGACAATGAAGTTTCGTTATTCAATTTCCCGTCGAAAGCTTAGTTCATAAGGAAGGTCCCTTACTTTCAAGCTCTTATAACTCTGTAGCTGTCGATGCCACGACATTTTCACGAAGAAGAGAAAAGATTAATTACAAATTACATTTGTCAGTCTGCCACGAAAATTAATTTACCAAAACTTCTGGCCCGGATATTATGAAAAAATTCGTTTATCTCGATATTAGGTAACTAAAAACAACAGAAGTTCGGTTGAGTGATTACAGTCAATTATTGAATCATCGACATCCGATGCGGGATCATCGTGCTTTTTTGTGTTCCATCCGTCGCACGCAACACGTATACATGGAGGACAAAGGGTATGAATAAACGAAGAGCGCTCGTCCAGTCAGAGTATGGCGGGTGTGGTTGTTTAGTCGCGATTGTCGATCAATAGAGACAATCAAGCTGTTAATTACCGGGACGTGACTAACCGTCGGTTAAAATTCGGTGTCGAGCTTTTCGTCGATTATATCGTCGTGTAAAAGCTCCCCTCGCTAACTCGGGCGACGCGCGGTCTGAAAATAAACTTGCGTCGTCGTCTCGACGTCGTTTCCTCTAAAATTGCGCGCCTCGCTCCATGTTATATTATGCCAGATATACCGAGTCTACACGCAAAATCTTCCGCTTGCATAAGGGAGTATAGTCGCGGTGGAAATTTCACGTTCAACGGACGATCTATACCTATCCGCGCTTCCTTTCGCCCACGATTTACTTGATCTCACTTTCTGGGGACGATCTAATGAAAATTTAATTAGACGTAATCTGATTCCAGTACCTCTTTCTACTTTAAATATCTAACGCAATTAACCTCCATTTAAAATTAGCCGAAGAGTAAAGCGACAATATTCTTACCTCACGAATGATCTACATTTTTAACTTGAGAGCTCTGTTGACGTCCAAATATTTTTTTTAAAATTATTTTTAGGCAATATTTCGAACTCGACCGAGTATTCGTGCGGGTAGAACACTTCGGGGACATCCTGTATATATTATATACGCGGGTGCTGACGAAGTTACTTCCGGCACGTTAACCGCGCAGGCATTCTTCAGCCATCACGGTTGATGTTGAGACTAGTGCGTCTATCTATGTGACGCTCGCTCTCGTAAACTCGTGAATCGCTCTCAGCCCTTGCTGCTATCAGAGATTGTTACTTATACTTCAACACATGTCTGTGAAACAGCGAAAGCAACAATGCCAGCGACAACAGCGTATAGTCGCGGCTCGAACTCGCAAATGAAATAACAGTCGGCGAGAGCCCAATCAGATTACGGCGCGAGCAAGCAAAAGCACTCAGTGGTAGAAACGCTAGCGAATAGTTAGTCCCGAGTTAAGTAACGACGCGAGACACGAGTGGCAAGAATGCCGGAGGGAAAGAGAGGCACAGCAAGAAGGAGAAA